ACTTTTTTTACAGACCTCATTCAGATGACATAACTAACATATTTCAAGCGATTAAGTGATATTTTATATAATCAAGTCATATAATGATGTTGATTAAAAGTAAACTGTATCAATTTACATTTTTCTTTTTGGAACTTTATTTACAGTGACATGTGGAGCAAATGCCCTGTGTATTGATCCAGACACATCTGAAATATCACATACTCGGGAATGTCTAGTAGAAACTGGCTACAAATGTGTTTGCAATTATGGTTATGCAGGAGACGGAGTAACTTGCATAAGTAAGTTTTATGACATTATCAGATACTTGAAATGGTTGGAAATATGTGATTTTAGTGGACAATGTAAGTTGGGATATATTCCAATTAAATATTTCCCATGGAATGTGATGAAAATATTCCATAAATCATTTCCCCCCCAGATTATTTGCAAGTCATTATAATAATAATTATAATTTATTGAGCACAGAAGCACAGAAATGATTTTACATTTAAAGGCTCTCTAACTAATATATATATATATATATATATATATATATATATATATATATATATATATATATATATATATATATATATATAATAAAAAGAAAAAAAGAACAGCTTTTTTTTTTGCCCGACCGGTTTCTTTCTTTCTTCAGGGGGTTTTGTTTATTTGTTACTAGGTGATGTCATAAAGGCTAAAATGTGACGTCTGTAACAATGGGTGTTTAATTGTTACTTTTACCAATGCTTTTATCTATTCAATGGCATTTATTAATGAATAGATTTTCTTTCATTTCCCTTTCTGTTTGGGTTGTTTCCCTAGTGAATTTATAAAATGGCAATACCGTAAAGTCCTTGTTTTTGTTCATAGGGCATTCCCTAATATTCCCACTCACAGACGTGCACTGATATTTAGGTTGTCTTATTTCACAGCACAAAAACAAATCTTTCCGATTTTTCAGCCTCCGCGGAATGACGTCGGAACAGTGCAAGCTGGCCTTTACAACGAGCGACTGAATGACGTTTTTCCGCGCAGGAGTACCCCTTTCTCTTTTACACGGCCTTTGAACAGGCGTAATCTCGTTCGTCTTTCTTCGCGACTGAACAACGTTTTTCCGCAGGGGTCCTGCCTTGGTATTATGTGACGGTCGTTATTGGATTGTGACTGACATTTAAGAACATGAGATTTCAATGGAACTGAAAGATTTATATTGTTAATTCATTTCAAAATTCCATTTTATTATCTTAGGTGCGCTACATGTATATACTGTCGAAAGGCGTGATCATCCCGATCATTAGAACATCTCTCCTGAGGAAGCTTCCCCCGAGGGCTTATCATATTTTGTTATTCATCATTTCATTTCTCTTAAATTAATACAGATTGCTTAGAAGCGATATCAAAGTCTATATTTAAAGCATGATCATTATTTCCATAAAATTGCAATGAATTATAATGAA